TCTGGTGTGTATTTTACACTTAGAGTATATCTTAGATCAAACTGGCCCCATTTGAGGTGGCCAATAGCCACAATGCAGTAGCTCTCACGTGAACAGCACAGCTATAGACTAAGATCAGGATCTCTGGCAATAACCTGTCTGAAAACAAAGTTGCTTCTTCTGTGCTAATGATATAGATTGCATTTTTCCTCCTAGAAATTTCATTGTCTTTACTTGGTATCATTTCAAGGAGTCAGGAAGAGTAAAAGACAAACCCGAAAGATAGTGAAATAAGTATGTAAATTCACATTACTTCCTTTTTCCCCAATCTAAAGCAATTCTTGGCAAATATCTTTGGGCTTCATATTTCTTTTGCCGCCTCTGTATTTCATCCAGTGTGTCAAAGTGACCAGCCATACCTGGATCATCTCTTATTCCAGAGGATTTCTGTAAATGTCGACCACCCACACCCATGCAATTGTACATGGGAGAGTTTATTCTTAAGAGAAATTACTGGAAATAATGTCTCCTTTGAGACAGAAGCTGGAAAAATAATTTTCCTAGATCTGCTTAGAGTAGACCATATTGCATATTTTCTCTCACATTTTGTTATGCAAAGGTTAAATATGATAAAGATATTTTAAACCAATGGAGCATATCATATATTCAGAGACACATGTGTTAACCTCTAAAAACAGTAGCAACAAAGAACCACAAAATGAAGGCTTGTTCTTTTCTCACTACTTTATTACTCACTTCTCATCTCCCTTTTCACACTCTTAAGCTCTCCAGCTGCTCATCTATAACTCACACTGACACTGATTCTGGTAATGCATTTCAACAGAGACTGGTTTAGCCCTAAATAATTTCTTCCCTTGACTTGCATAGAAAAAAAAGAATACATATCTGCCACTGCTTGGAACAGAATTTCCAATAAGCTTCCATTTAATGAATACAAACTAGATTTAATGCCTTTAAATTTTAAAATAATCCCCATTAGTTTATCTATGGAACTGGATTTTCAAACATTGACGTGTTTAAGTATTCTGATATATGAAAGTGTAAAGGAAAAGCAGTTTATTTTATTGGCACAATTCAGTGTTTTAAGGTTCTGTTGGGTGGCCAATATGTTTCAGATACTGAAACTGTGCTTGAGATAGGGGAATAAGACACA